GGGTTCTCCATATTTCCTGAATTTGCATGCCAACCTCTCTAGCAAAATTAGAAAAATTTTTGTGGACTATATCCTCAAATATATTTTCCAAGTTGCTTTCTTTCTTTTCTTCTCTCACAGGAATGCCAATGAGTTGTAAATTTGCTCTTTATAAACTATGTAAATAATATCGTATTTATTGGCGGTTTTGTTCACTTTCTAAAATTATTTTTAAAATTTTTGTCTGAGTTAATTTAAAAACCCAGTCTTCAAGATCTGAGATTCTTTTCTTAGCTTGATCTGTTCTACTGTTAATATTTCCAGTTGTATTATGAAATTCTTGCAGTAAATTTTTATCCCAGAAATTCAGTTTTATTCTTCCTTTTTGTGGGGGTGGGGATGGTTCTTTTCTTTTCCGTTTTTTTGTAGAGACGAGGTCTCACTAGGTTGCCCTGGCTGACCTTGAACTCCTAAACTACCATGCCTGGCATTTTCTTTCTTAAAATGGCTAGTTCATCTTTCAGCTTTTGGATTGTCTTACTGGATTCCTTGCATTGGGTTTCAACATTTTCTGAATTTTAGTGAGCTTCCTTGCCATCTAGATTCTGAATTCTGTATCTGTCACTTTAGTCATTTCAGTCTGGGTCAGAACCATTGCTGGGGAGCTAGTGGGCTCATTGGAAGTAAAATGACATTCTGGCTTTTTGAATTGCTAGAGTTATTGTGCTGATTCTTTCTCTTCTCGGGAACTGACGTTCTTTAACTATGGTATAAGTTGAGTGTAGTCAGTTGGGTTTGTTTTTGGATGATTTCAGAGGGCCAAGGCTCTGTACTGGATCTTTATTTGTGTGTGAATTCTCACAGGAATGTTTATTAGCAAAATAATTTTTGGGTTGTAATTTGAGCTGTCATCCAGTAGAGGATACTTAAGAGCAATGGCCAGTAGATAGGCTCTTAGTTTAGTCACTCTTGTATTTGCTCATCTTTGCAGATGTGCTCTGCAGTGGGCGGAGAGAGGCCTTCTCCAATCACTGGCACTGTACCCATGTTTCTTTTTTTAGGTTTTCTGAGCCACAGGCTCCCTCAGGCAGAGACCAAGGCAGAGAGATAGGTGACACCTTTTCCGAACCAGGCCTGTGGAAAGTAGCATGCCCTGCTCCCACGCTGGCCTGGGGCTGGATCATAAGTCCATGTGTTACCTGTCTCAGTGCTCTGAGATGGGGATTCCTCCCCCACTTGACCGTCAGCCACATATCTCAGCTTGGTACTCCTGGGCTGGACATGGCATCTCTGAGTCTCCAGGGCACCCCACAGCTCAGACTCGGGCTCTGGTTGCTTTGGAGGATCCGAAAGGCTCCCAGGTCACAGCGAAAGTAATCAGGTGGTGCAGCACCCAGGCTGGGCAGCAGAGACTGTGCTGTGCACATGCTCCTGTGGGGCAGCTAGGCAGGGACCCTAGGAGAGGCCGGCAGGCAGGAGAGGCCGCAGAGCAGATATGCCCCAGTCCCATGGGGGAAGCCTGCTCTCTCCTGGCTTGTGGTCACCTAGGGCTAGAGCCTCTCTGAAGGGATGGGCACCTATGTCTGTGCTTTGCTCACAAAAGCTCTTGGGCTCCCTGCTAGCTGAAGCCCTGTGTCTACCTACTCCCTGGGAAAATCCACCTGCCAGGTCACACATCCATTGGAGATGTGGGTACCCTGTAGCTTAGATCCCAGAGATCTGCGGAGAGAATGAGCTGTCCCTCAGTCCCCTCCATCTCCCCTTATTCAGGAGCCTTTGGGGATCAGGAAGTAGCCCAAGCATCCAGGTACCCTACACAGCGTTCCCAGCTTTGCCTTCTTCAGCCTTAGTATCTATGTTGCCCCTCCACATACTCTTGGTGTTTTCTCCCTGGAGATCAGATCTGCCCAAATTATGTTGGTCCACTTGATAATTTGGGCTCTCTCAGTGGGAGTGGTGCTTCCTGGATACGTCTAGTTAGCCATCTTGTCCTCCCAGATCATCAATTTCATTTTTTAATCCTAAGTAAGTACCTGGATAAACTTCATCACCAGAGTGTAGCTGTTACATGTATTGTTACATTAAAGATAGGCAGAGTTTGATGTTTGTTTCTAATAATAAATCGATAGAAAATATTTTTAAAATTTTTTTCCATTCCGTAACAAGGATCTAAGTAAGGATTTTCTGTGGCAAAGGATGGAGGATGAGTGCACGGTTATTATTTGATTCTACCAGTTCCATTTGGAAGCTAACAAAACCAGAATTTCTAATCTTTCAGAAAAATCTTTGCTTTTATAATTGTCCTACTCAAACATGACTAGCTCTCATTTTGATTAGCATAATGTATTAAAAACAAATCCTGTTTGCTTTTCAGTCACATTTTTCCAGTCTAAATCTTACTATAACGGGAGAACTTCGGAGTGAAAACACATCACTGATTTTAAGTAGCAGCAATCAAAAAAGAGAGGTAAGTACAACAGTGAGTTTTGAAAACATGCATTTCACTCTGAATTTTGTGACATAATGTTTTATAATTGTTGATACTCCCTTAAGCAGTGACTGGTATTGCTCTCGGTAAGTGACAGACACTATTTGCTTCAAATTATACTTCATTAGCTTCAAGTGTGATTTTAGTCTTATGCTTCCTTCTAAGAAACTGGGAAAATCATGATATTTACAATTCACATGCCATGTTTGACTTTATCACTTTTCACTATCACAGTAAATGGATGTTTTTACTTTCACTTTGGTAACAAATGATGCAGTTGTAACTTTCCTCCTTAAAAGCTGACATTATAAAGTGCAGTTGACATCTGAGGAGGAGCCTCAAAAAACAACTTCTTTATAAAAAGTGCCTTTATAATGTACAAGAATACATGTACTTTTTAAAGTTTTCTTTCAAATTTCACGGAGAAATTTGAAACAAAAATGAGATGGTATTTCCTAATACAAATTCAGGTTTCAGTCCTTGGTAAAAATACAAAGGTTTGAGTTTTCCCCTCTTGTCCTTTTTATAAATTAACATGCCAAGGTGACAGAGTAAGACCCCATCTCTAAAAAAAATAAAATAAGTACTTGTTACACATGCAGGCACTTCAGCATGATCTTCCCTCTTCTCGTGGGAGACTTTAAATATCCTATGCAGATAAACAGCACCACACGAATCACAAAATTCAATTTGGAAGCTCCCTAACTTTCACACATTCTTTTTAAATTGCTTATTTCAAATTATTCCAATGACTTCTGATAAGTATACACCTTTCAAGAAAAGTCATATATCAATGACTTCTGATAAGTATACACCTTTCAAGAAAAAGAAAAATACATGCATATAATGTTTACTTATGTCATAAAGAGCACCTAGCATAAGCACGCAAAATTCAAAGTTGTTCCTTACACAGAATAGCCAACAGTTCACTAAAACCTAAAAAAACTGAGTATGGCTTATATTGGCAAAGTGCATTTGATTCCTAAATATATGTGTTAAAATTTTATCATTATATCATCATAATTTAAAATATCATATATATCATCATATATATATATTTATCATATATATCATCATAATTTAAAAATAACATTTTATTTCCCCTAAATGTTAGTTAAAAACTGCCCTGGAAATATTTATTCTACATTCATCCTAAAGGAAAATTATACCCATATTGATAAAATTACTAAAAGTGACAATTTTGTAATTGTATGATCTGAGGAAAGTCACTGATCTTATCTAGATTCCAGTTTCCATATCTGTAAGTTCAGGGAATTGTTTTACATGTGCTTAAAATCTGCCTTGCTGGGCATAGTGGCTCATGTCTCACCCCAGCTACTCGGGAGACTGAGGTGGAAGGATCACCTTAGCCCAGGAGTTTCAGATCAGCCTGGGCAAAATAGTGAAACCCTGTCTGTGTTTTGTTTTGTCTTGTTTCATGAAACTGTCATAATGGTCTGATGCTGTGTGTGTCTACATTCTTGCCAGCTCTGTGACCTACCTGGAATGATTTGAGAGGTTTTGATTAGTATCATGTATATACAAATCTCTCCCGTTAGCTTCTTTCTCTACCCTAATCTTCCTTCTAGGTAAAGAAATCGAGAAATTATTACTGTTAAGGGCAAATACAGGGCTTGAACTATTATTAGTCATTAATATCTACCCTGAACTAAATTTTTTCAGATATCCCAGGGATGGGACACAGAGCAGATAGGTTTCATTGATGTTTGAGCGCCACCCTGGGAGAGGTCGAGTAGCTGGAACACTAAAAGTGGTCCATTTTACAGGTTTGCTATAAATCACTTAAGACCTGATTTATAGATGTGGACCCAGTGATAAGTCAAGTAGAAGAGCCATTGTGATATAATGAAGAGCACACTGGGAGTGAATATATATGCAAACATTCACTTATCCGTACACTTGACATTTATGCATTTTATTATATGATAATTACACTTTCAATTTATAAACAAAAAATGAAGCACACTAGAAATAAAATAAGAGGACCTCCTCAAGTTTTTATGACAAGGAACTGCAACATTTCAGCCTAAACTAATGCTGTTATGATAATACAGTACTCTACTAATTAATCTTTAACACACATAATACGTTGGTATTCCCCGAGTTAAACAGAAATTCACTGCTACCCTTGAGCATTCTGATTCATTGACATTTAACTCTTTATGTATAAATTTCTGAAGGATAAGTTTATAAATACCTTTTGGTAGTAATAAATTTGACAGAGATTGAAACTAGATAAAGGGCATTTTCTAATATAAACTTAATGTTTTCTCTGTATATAGTAACAAGATGAATGCACTGGTACAGAACTGTAGCCTGCAAGAACTCAGTGTTCCAGAAGTTCTGATAGGTGTTTATTATGTTAACAATCTTGTTTAATGATTTTTAGCTTGCTATTCAAATATCCAAAGATGGGCTACCAGGTAGAGTGCCATTATGGGTCATCCTGCTGAGTGCTTTTGCTGGATTATTGCTGTTAATGCTGCTCATTTTAGCACTGTGGAAGGTAAGCACCAAAATTCCTTTGACTTTCTACTTCAATCATTAACAGCAAACTGGAGAAATAAACTATAATATATTCAGACTATGTAGTATAGTATTACTTCAGCAATGAAACAAATGTTGAAATGATGGCTAAGAAAAAGAAAAAAGAAACAGTCATATTTCAAACACCACAGACAACTTGATCCAATTTTTATAAAGGAAAAGAAAACTTATTTTGGGTTAGGCATATTCAAAAATCACAAAAGTATCTTTCTAGAGTTTAGGATGATAGGGGACTTTCATATGCCTGTAACAATTAAAATTTTATAATAAGTATGTATTTCTTTTATAAACAGGGAACAGTGAAAACTGTCTTTTATAGAAAAAGAAAAGAACAAATTCCTATTTCAATTTAAGGGTATATAAGCAGTAGTTTCATGGTTAAAATTAGCCTTGTTTTAATCACACATCTCTATGTGTCTTAAATATCATAAAATTATTTAATGTTTAAACAGACATGGCACATTTTAGATAATAAATTGTGTGCCTGAGGGGAGGATAAGGGATCAGCTGATAGAGGGGAGATCTCGAAGTTTCACAGACTCCTATTTCAAATTCTATGGTAAAAGTGAGTAACCACCTATTTTGTGTCAAGTAACTCTGGATATTTATGTAGATGTTTTGCTTAGGCTGAAATGGGGACGATTTTAAAAACTCTTAGCAGCTGTACAATTTTCACATTAAGCAGAACTGAGATAACAGCTTTTAGGATAAGCTGAATAGAGAATAACATCTCATACACAGTTAAATTTAATGTTTTTTCAATTAAATATCAAATAGGCATTTCTTCTAGCATAATATCCCTCTATGTCTTATCTATTATTTTGTTAAATGGTTAAACTATGTTAAAAATATAGGTTGTGGCTACATATTAAGTGTTCTATTACCTGAGCAACGTAATTATTTAATCAGATAGTTTAAATAGCAGTTTCTCTCCCACTGAAATACCACCTGTTCCTATCCTTTCTTACTCTCCTGTGGCTCACTTCTTCCTTTGAGGGGCTTACTCTCAGAGGAGACAGCGAACAAAGTCAGATGTAAGTCAGTGGCATTCAATTCAGTAAATAGAATCCATGGCGTTTCTCCAGCAAAGTTCCCAACACAAAATCCTCCACTATATCCAATGTCCAGCTCCTCCTTCCACTTTATAAGGGGTGTATTCTCTCTGTAATTCCTAGCTTTGCCACACTGTGGTACCCAAGGCCTGGCTTACTGGTGTCAACGTTGCACTTGAAATATAGGAAGTGATTTCTTCATTTATATGCACCTCTAATAGAGAGTGTTACTGTTGATTTTTTTCAGCATAGTCTTCTATTCTGAGCACTGCACTTACCCTTATGGTTTTAGGACATCACTGACAAGAGAAGAGGAAAGCCAGAGCTGATATTTGGATAGGTTCTTTCCGGCCTTGTTCCTCTGTTTCAGACAAAGAGAAATTTCAGTCAACTGTTTTTCACTAGTCTAAAAAAGCATAAATATAAAAATAAACTCATTGTTTCTTCCAGATAATGATGTGTTGATACATTCAGATAGCTTCTTAGGTTATTATTACTGTAGGCCCAAAAGCAGGTCATTTGACAAAAACTTTGGGCTCTCTTACCCGGTAAAAATAGTTCCGCCACTTGACTGGGAGGCCCAGCAATCAGAACTGTGATTCCAATGTAGAAGAGAAGGAACCAGCTCTTATTGAATGCTTACTATGTGCTGGGAACTGTTTTAAACACTTCTGCTTTAAGCATTCCTACTTAATACTCATATCAACCTTATGAGGTCTTATGAAATTCCTCTTATAAATGAGGAACATAAAATTAAGTAAATTTCCCAAAGACACATAGGAAGATTCAGAGTAAGGATCTGAATCCTGTGCCAAAACCACTGACTGTTATCACTATGTGTTCTCTCTTGCTTCCATTCACTCTGGTGTCCTCGCGACAATCTTTTCGACCAAGTATTTTAACTACATTTTATACCCGAGGACATTACAGTGAAGGGAAGTAAATACACCTGAGGACATTAAAGTGAAGGGAAGTAAAGTAACTCTCCCACAATTAGTAGCTAGTAAATGACTAGATTCAAGCAATGATCTACAGAGCTCATTCTTTTTCCGATATATCCCACTGCTGCAGGCTGTAGGGCTGGCCTCTTTACTCTGGAGCTCCAGGAGTTGGGTTTTGTTCAAGAGGGTCATGAACTCTCTGAAACACAAAATACTGTCTGGTTTTAGATGAGGGTCCCTGGTTGGATTCAGACTTTCAGTAGTTCAATTATATTAAGAAAGCTAATCCCACTTGCCCCTACTTTAAAGTTCTGTTGGAAGCTCCCTGAAGCATGAGTTCAGTTGCAGTGGGCTTCAGAAGGGCTACTCTTATTCCCAGACATTTTTTTTATACTAACTAGATCTGAACGAGACACCTCAGGACTATCCCTTCCTCCTTCTGCTCCTGAATCCCACCACTTTGGAGGTTCATTGGAACTCCCAAGTCTGAGTCTCTGTGAAAGAGGCAGGCCAAAAATTTCTCTTAGAGCAGAGACTCCATTTCAAAAGACACGGTCTTTATATCTTTGTCTTCATCATACACGTGGCAAAAATTAAAGCTTGACAAAGTGTTAGTAACTGCTTAATACACTTCATGATTGATGGGAGGAGCCTTGTAGGGGACATAGTGTAAATGGGTGGAGAAACTTGTCCTGAAATATGGTACCACATGCTGGGGGAGATGCCCAGCCAGAACAGCATATCCAATAGAGTAGAATGACATCAGCCCACGTGGAGCCATGAGAGACTCAGAACATTTCTCTCTCCTAGCTTGATGTCATAATGATGCCTGAAGTTCCTCAGCTGATGATTTATATATTAATCCTAAAGCTTAAGCCTAATGGTTTGTGAATCTGAGACTTTTACAGTTGGCTCACATAAAACAAGCCTGAGACATGTAGGAGAGCTGATATTTGGGGAAGACAAACTTATTGTTTTCATGTGTATTTGTTCTGTTACCACTTCTCCCTCATCTACCACCAACTAGATGATGGTGTGACAGAAGACATAAGCCCTGAATAAAGTTTCTAGCCTAAAAGTGCACATTTTTGAGGGCTTATCCCCTCTAAGTCCTCAATTGTTTAATAATTATTTTATAAATATATAGTTTCTTGGCATAATTTGCCATAATTTCATGATTAAAGTGATATAGAGGCGTGCACCTATAGTCCCAGCTACTAGGGAGGCTGAGGCAGGAGAACTGCTTGATCCCGGGAGGCAGAGATTGCAGTGAGCCGAGATTGCACCACTGCACTCCAGCCTGGCACCTGGCAACAGAGCAAGACTGTGTCTCAAAAGAACATAAAAAGAGAAGATATAGAGGTACCACACTTTTAAAGAATTAACTCATTGCCTTTGCTCGATCTATTATGGCCCTCCCTCAAATTTAAAAATATATACAAATTTGAAAAATCACCCATCTGTGACCCTTAATTTTCTTTTTTTAAAAAATAAGCATTTTAGGTTAGATAATTGCAAAGATCCCTTCTATTCCCCATACTTAGTATTCTATAGACTAGGAAACAATTGCAGCACTTACAACTTTTTATGATGTCCCAAATTGCAAAGCATAATGAAATACCACTCGCCATTCTCCACAAAGTGAAATTTTTCTTATGGTCAATGACTTTAGTTTTTATTTCCAAATGATATAGTGTGTTTTCAAGAGGCTTTTCATATCAAATCTATATAAGCAGACGTCCTGATGCAATTTAAATTAATACTGACAACTCAGAAATCTCCCTAATGCCCTAGCAATGATATATACCTGTCAGATTCCCTGCCATCTCTAATGACCTCAACTTATAGTGATTGATCATTTGATGGAAATTTCTCTGCCATATCCCTGAAAAAAACAAAAAAGATGATGGCAAACTAGAGACAATGCTATAATAGTAGTTTGTTTGTTTCCCAAAATATTTTCCCAGAAACTTTTAATTCAATGTGTATACTATATTTTACTAGAAGTCATGATATATTTAACGAATAAAAACGTTAAAAATGAAACAGCGGCCGGGCAAGGTGGCTCACGTCTGTAATCTCAGTACTTTGGGAGGCTCAGGTGGGCAGATCACAAGGTCAAGAGATCGAGACCATTCTGGCCAACATGGTGAAACCCTATCTCTACTAAAAATACAGAAATTAGCTGGTCATGGTGGTACACGCCTGTAGTCCCAGCTACTTTGGAAGCTGAGGCAAAAGAATCGCTTGAACCCGGGAGGCAGAGGTTGCAGTGAGCTGAGATTGTGCCACTGCACTTCAACCAGGCAACAGAGAAAGATTCCGTCAAAAAAAAAAAAAAAAAAACCAGCAATTTAATAAATGTTATATTTTGACTTGAATATTAATAGGTGAATGAGAAAATATTTCTTAATTATATTAGTTTCATGCCCAGCATTGCTAATATATTATTAAATTTAATTCTATTCAAAAGGATTAATATTTATTACCTAAATTAAAATAGTGAATTGTGTTATGTTTTGTATTTTCTCAACAGATTGGATTCTTCAAAAGACCACTGAAAAAGAAAATGGAGAAATGAAATATTTTTCAAAAGAAAATAATAATTATTCAATGATCTATCCTCAGGTTTGCCTCAAATATGTGACAAGAAATGTATAATTCATGACATAGTTACATAACTATGTAATCCATCAGGGAGTAATTACTTGGAAAATGGCAGGTCATGCATTATCCAAAAACAATACCAAAAAGACATATTTTATAAAATGATAAAAAATATTTTAAATAATTACTCATTTTTGTTGAGTAAGCAAAATTACAAAGTGTTTTTTAAAAAACCTGTGCAAATATGTTTATGTATTAAATCATCATCCAAAGTATTTAAGGAATACATAAAGAGATTTTTATAATCATGGAAACATTTACTTTCAAAACAATATGAATTAAGCTTTTCCCCTTGATTCCCGGTGGATATTCATGTTCAGCATGTCAGTCAGTGCTTGTAAATGCCAAGAAAGGAATTAGCTGAAAAAGATAATTTCCCCCAGTTCAAATGAGAAAACTTTCCTTTGGTAGAATCCATATGCAATATGGACTGAAAATTAAGTCACAAAGAATACATTTAGCATCTTTGTGTTGGGTTTTATACCTGAAAAGTTTTTTTTTTCCCCTCAAGGTGATTGGAAAGTACTGCAATTGAGCTGAAATTTTATCTAGGATAGAAAATCAGGATAGACTCATTTAAAAACAAGTATGCTGAATGGGATAAATTACGTTTTTACAAAACATGCTTAATTTTGATATTGAGCTCTAAATGCAAAACCCTTTTATACTGAAAAAACACTTAAAGCAGTTTTGTGTGGCATCACAGTGACTTGTCATGAAAAGCCATGTATGGAGGATATGCTAAAATAGCTTCTGAATGAAACATGGCAGCAGAGAAGGATGCCGCTGAAATGCTGAAATTATCTTTGCTGAGCAGCTTTTGAATGCTAAGCGTTGCAGCATGTGACCCAAAGAAGGAGTTGTCTCAACTCCTTGGTACAGGGTTCATTCAAACCCCCAAGCTGTGAGAGTGTGTTTATTTTTAATTTTGTAAAGGGTATTTAATTTCCAATCACATTTCTTATTTTTATGAAAAGACAGTATTCCATTTCAGTATTACATTTTACCAACAAGTCACTGCATTTTAAGTGTGGTGCATCAATATTTAAATAGAATGCCAGAGATGTATTTTAAAGAATTTCAGATTTGAAAGCTCAAACCAACAGAAAGATAACATACCTTTGTATGTACTTCTTTGTTCTTGGAGTAGTCGTTATGGATCATTGGAATCTACTGTAGCATAAACTCCTAGGTTGCTCCGTTTCTTAGGAAAACAGCAATGAATGAATGTATAGTAGTTGCTTGTGTGAACTACTGCTGTAAAGTTTGCTCACATTTCTGTATCAACTCCATTTCTCCACCTGATTTACCAGCACCTGTAACAAGACCAGAACCTGTATTTATCCAGAAACTCCTGGGCTCTGCTTTGCTCACAAAGGAGCAAATCCACATAGAAATTAAATGACATAAATTTAATTTTTTTCAAAGTAATTTCCAAAGAATCAGCTGAAGACTCAGAGTCAGCCTACCTCTGGACTCTCCTTATCTACATCTAAGATCACGAAGGCCAAAGGGATGTGACTGTGGGATGCCAAAGCCATCAGTAGCTGGAAGAAAGAATCTATCTTTCTAGAGATTTGGTATCCTCTTGCTGGCCTGTTATTATTCAGAAATATGTGCTTTTGGAATTTCCTTCATTTTTGCTGTCTCCAGGTTCAGAAATCATACCTTCCACTTGTTCTTTCTTTGCCCAATAAAACTCAGGGTTTCTCTTATTCAGAGTTAACGTGTTGCACACCTCCCGTGCTCAGCCTGCCTAGAAGCCCTGCTCTGATCTCAGCAACATCTTAGAAGCAAAGCTAACAGATCCATTGAAATTCATACTCTGCATCTGTGACTGCTAGACAGAGCCCATTTACTGAACCATGAGTGTGTACTTTAAATACATTGTTAACTGAAAGGGAAAAAATAAAAACGAGGGCATTTTGAAGTTTTTAGAAAAGAGAGGAAGAGCTGTTGGCCAGATCAAATAGGCACTTATAAGCCTGGCACAATTTTTAACATAAGTCATTCCTGGTTATTAAGTAAAATATTTCATAAACCAGAAATCCCATTTCTCTAATATTATAACTAGTTGAGGTTTGTGTGTGTGTGTGTATGCAAATGCAGACACATGTACACACATAAATTGAATACAAAATACCTCTATAACACCAAATAACAGAGTTTACAGAAAATAAACACAAAAGCTTTACATGCAAGACAAGTTTAATTCACTTTTCATATCATTTCATTTTTATTAATATTTAGATTTAACTTATAGTTCTGCAATTATCTAAAAAGCAAAGCATTTGATTTAAAAAAAAATAAGTCAACAGATGTTTCAAAATAGCTTCGTACAAATAGTATGTTTGAAATGGTATATTTCAAAATAGCTTTGTACAAATCTTAATGATTAAGAAATATACTAGACTCTATCATTAACTTTTAAAGCATTTAATTAGAAAAACAGGTGATGTTTAAGACTATTTATAAACTTATTGGCTAAATTGCCAAAAACTTTCTTTCTCTCTCACTGGTGTTCTAAATAAATGATTATTGCTTCCATTGCAAACAACCATGTACGCAATCTCTTTTCTGACCAAACTACGATGGCATATTGGTAAATTATTTAACAGCACACTGTACTGTACAGGAGGGAAAAACAAAAAACAGTCTCTGATTTGTATTATTTGTCAATTTCTATGGTCTAAATATTCTCCCTCCATTTTCAAACCACCAAAGTGACCCTAATTAGCTTGCAGAATTTCTGGAAGTGTATCTGTCAGCTTTAGCAACCAGTATGAGCTGACTTCAGCACACCACTTAGATTACATGATAGATGATAGATAGATAAATTGACAGATAGATAGATAGATGATAGATAGATAGATAGATGATAGAAATCGATAGAGAACATGTTGTGTCTATATGTGTATCCAATGACACACAGTATAATCATATTTTAAATTATGCCAAAAGTGCCAATTATATCAAGCCCAGTAGACATAATGCTACACAGCACCCATTCTTTAATTTCGATTTCCAAAATTGTAACCTTCCTTTGATATTAATAAAATTGTTATGAACTTGCAAGGAGAAGGAAGGAGCTGAAAGCAGAGAAATATAAAAGGTGATCCACAGTGCAAATCAGACCTACATAGCAGCCACAAAAAAAATTGTCTCATATTCCCAAGGAATCTATAGTCCTTCAAGACACATTACAAAAGGTGATACTTTGTAAATATTTTTTACTTCTATGATCCAGTTTCAACTTCATTGATCCAATGTGTCAAACTATTTTTCTCTAAGCACTAGATTCATGGACAAGTTAGTCTCTGAACATTTTCTGTTGTAAGTGTGCTTGAAAAGTGGCTTGTAGTACAGAAATATTTTTACAAAATTTGATGCTTCTGCAACCATAATAATTTTATGTATAATGCATATATATATATATATATATACACACACACACGCATACACTCACATGCAGATATTTACATCTATAGATGTTCCCTTTTCCTTTTATAAAATCAAAGTCTAGGCTCAATTGGAAAATGGAAATATTTGCACCAAAAGAAAAAAGTGGCAGTGTCAGTGATCAGTGGAGTAAAGCTGGGGTATAGCAGAGGCTGCAGAAGCCCTGCCCATGTTCTCTCCAAGGCCACAGCTGGTACACTGTGAATGGTGGCCCCGCTGGCTCCATGGAGTGTGCCTTCCCACGGGGGAATGTCTTTGTCCAGCACGCTGTCATCTACTCCATGTGAATTGACTGTCTTGCACAATATTGAGAAACAGGCCCAGAGCCTGTCTCAGGTGCCAGGTGCAGTCATTGTATTGTTCAAATAAAGTGGCTTCTGACAAATCAGTTTTTGGAAATAGCATCCTATGTACTCTCCATTGTTTCCAACATCTCTCAGGTCCCCTTTGCCAGTTTTCTCCCCCAGGGGAGACTTTCAAGACTACTGGAGAAAAATCTGTTAAAGCATTTGCTCAGAGTACCAGCCTCAGTAACTCAATTATTTCTACAGGATTTCAGTGTTTGATTCTGCAGAGGTACGATAAAGGGTTCACACAGTATAATGGAGGAAGGACAGAGCAGAACATACTTCCGAGCTGGAGCATCTTTAAGACATTTACAAACTGTTAAACGGGACACTGTCAGTAACTGTGCCTGGGGAAGCTAGCAGGATTTAGCGCTTCAATGGCCCTCCAAACACCCTGCGATCGCCAACCTCACCCATGGAAATCATCTAAAAAATG